ATTAAAGAAACTAACGAGCTTAAGCTGTTGGGCCCAGTCCAACTTAAGCCCGCTAGGGTTTCATGCTAGGGACTATAAATACATGATTTATAACCCTAGCACAAAAAAAAAAAAACACAAAACAAAAAAACCCTAATCGGCCACCCTCTCTCTCACGCCCTCTCTTCCGCGCGGCCACCACCGCGCCACCACCGCCGCTCCGTCGCCGGAAACGGCCGTTCCTCGGCCGGCTCTTGTTCGGTATTCTTTCTCCTTTATTTTCTTTCCGTTTTATTCTAACTACTTCGTGTCTAGTGCCACGATTTAGTAGATCGAAGTATACGAGGTGAAATCCGAGAGGAGGAAGACCGTAGATCGAAGAATCGAGGAGCAACGCACGAGCCGAAGCCGCACGCTGCCCCACGCGCCGCCTCGCACAACCGCGCGTGCTGTACACGCGCCGCCGTGAGCTGCCCCACTGCCGCTGCTGCTGCTCCATTGCTGCCCCGATTCTACGGATTGGTTTCCGTAGCAATCACGACGAATCGTTCGATCCTACCTCACGCGTCAAGAGGTAAATACTCGAAACCCTAGTTTCGTTTTAGGGTTTAATTTAAACTATGATTTCATGCTTGTGTTTGTATGATTTTATGTGATTATGTGTAATCGATTAAATCGTTGCGAGCATGTTATTTGGTTTAAATTGCGAGCATGTTAATTGATTTAAATTCGGTTAAATTTATTAGCATGTATGTTGTTTTTAATTTCGCTGGAAGCGCAAAGGTACGCAATTAATTGATTTAATTTGTCGGGCATGTACTTGTGTGCTTTAAAGTGGTTTAAATCACGTAAAATTTTTGTTTTCCGCTGCGTATGCGTGCCCGAAACCCAACATAAAATGCAAGTATTAACATATATATATGTATACGTATGCATGCATGTATGTACGTATATATATATATGCATATATATGTATATATTCCACATAACTTACCAAGAAATTTATCAACTAGATAAATACGCAATTATTCACATAATTCACGTAATTCACGACATTTCTAGAATTTCAATTTACGAAAATATAAATCACACAAATAATAGCGCACGTAATTATTCACGTAAGTCACATAATTAAATTCACGTAATAGTATAGTTAAATTCACGTAATCCATATAATCACGTAATAATATTTCCTAAGGGTTCTCGAGTTAGGAATATTAATCTCGGGTTTTAGGATTTTCGGGTTTTGGAAAGGTGGGGTGTTACAAAATTTCCAAATTTGGACTCGAACATGGTCAAAATTGGATTCCAACAGCGATCATGAAAATACCCGCTACAGTTCGAGGACACGAATGCGCATCAAGAAACGTGCACAAAAACACTCGCTAAAAAAGATACGCACATAAGTAAAAGTACAAAATCATGCACAAAATTACTCACGCAAAACTGCATTCGCAAAAAGGATCATGAAAACACAAACTACAATCCTAGGACATTAATACAAATCAACAAACATGCACAAACACACTCGCTCAAATGGACATGCACAACTATACATGTAAAAAAACATGCGCAAAAGTGCATTCCCAACAACGTTCTTAAAAACACGAAGTACAACACTAGGACTTTAATGCGCATAACCAAACAACAGCAAAAACACAAGGTACAAAAGATACGGTGGAGTGTAGAAATAACACTCAACGTTTACGTTTACGTGGATTTTTTTATGGATTAATTTATATTTCTGTTTTAATTGGTGGATTTAGTATTCTATAGGTACAAATGTATAATTAGGTGTCCATGAAGCAAAAATGATCAAAGAGTAAGAAAAGAGTTGCAATTAGGAAAATAAAATCAAAATACAAGAGAGGATCCCTCAACATCTTCGGTAGTGCCCACGAAGTCGAGCATAACTTTCTCATCCGGACTCCAAATCGACTGGTTCCGGCGGCATTAGAAAGCTATTTCAGCTGGCTACAATTCCTGTCTAAGGTCAAATTTCCAAATTCGGACTCGAACATGGTCAAAATTGGATTCCAACAGCGATCATGAAAATACCCGCTACAGTTGGAGGACACGAATGCGCATCAAGAAACGTGCACAAAAACACTCGCTACAAAAGATACGCACATGAGTAAGAGTACAAAATCATGCACAAAATTACTCACGCAAAATTGCATTCGCAAAAAGGATCGTTAAAACAGAAACTACAATCCTAGGACATTAATACAAATCAACAAACATGCACAAACACACTCGCTCAAATGGACATGCACAAACATACATGTAAAAAAACATGCGCAAAAGTGAATTCCCAACAACATTCTTAAAAACACGAAGTACAACACTAGGATTTTAATGCGCATAACCAAACAACAGCAAAAACACAAGATACAAAAGATACGGTGGAGTGTAGAAATAACACTCAACGTTTACATTTACGTGGATTTTTTTATGGATTAATTTATATTTCTGTTTTAATTGGTGGATTTAGTATTGTATAGGTACAAATTGATAATTAGGTGTCCATGAAGCAAAAATGATCATGCACGCAATTCGGTTTTATATTGAGAAACATGCGCCGCAGCGGCTTAAAGCGTTGATAACTTTTGACTCGGGATGAGTTACGAGGCGATCTGCATACGCACGCGAAGCTCTTTCAGATGCCGTCGGCGCGTTAATTCGGCGAAGCCCCATTGACCCCGCGCTCGCAGTGAAAAGAGGCCGTTTCGACCAGCTTCCGCCAATATTAGACGGGATCGACGCGTTTATCGATGCAATCAGATCGTTCGATCGATCCGACCGGCCCCACATTGCTCGGCGCACATCGTGCCCGCGCTGAGATATGCATTAGATGCCTGCTCATGGCTGTCAAAATAAAAAGAAAAAAAAAAAAAAACTACTGGAAAACGGGAGGTGAGACGAGAAAATAAAATACAAAAAGGTGGGGTGGGGGTGCAACACGAGGACTTCCCAGGGGGTCACCTATCCTAGTACTACTCTCACCCAAGCACGCTCAACTTCGGAGTTCTGATGGGATCCGGTGCATTAGTGCTGGTATGATCGCACCCGTAAGTCAATGCACGCAATTCAGTTTTATGTTGAGAAACCTGTGCCGCAGCGGCTTAAAGCGTTGATAACTTTTGACTCGGGATGAGTTACGAGGTGATCTGCATACGCACGCGAAGCTCTTTCAGACGCCGTCGGCGTGTTAAATAGGCGAAGCTCCATTGACCCCGCGCTCGCAGTGAAAAGAGGTCGTTTAGCCCAGCTTCCGCCAATATTAGACGGGATCGACGCGTTTATCGGTGCAATCAGCTCGTTCGATCGATCCGACCGGCCCCACATTGCTCGGCGCACGTCGTGCTCGCGCTGAGATATGCATTAGATGCGCCTGCTCATGGCCGTCAAAATAAAAAGAAAAAAAAAAACTACTGGAAAACGGGAGGTGAGACGAGAAAATAAAATACAAAAAGGTGGGGTGGGGGTGCAACATGAGGACTTCCCAGGGGGTCACCCATCCTAGTACTATCTCGCCCAAGCACACTTAACTTCGGAGTTCTGATGGGATCCGGTGCATTAGTGCTGGTATGATCGCACCCGTAAGTCTATGCACGCAATTCGGTTTTATGTTGAGAAACCTGCGCCGCAGCGGCTTAAAGCGTTGATAACTTTTGACTCGGGATGAGTTACGAGGCGATCTGCATACGCACGCGAAGCTCTTTCAGACGTATATATTAGATCTGCATCTGCATGAAAAATATATATGCAGCACTAATGACCGCAAGTGATCATTAGTGATCAACTTCTGCTTATAATACAAAAAAAAAATCCGCGTAAACGGAAACGTAGAGTTTTATTTCTACACTCCACCGTACCTTTTTTGTCTAGTGTTTTTGCTGTTGTTTGTTGATGCGTATTAAAGTCCTAGTATTGTAGTTCGTGTTTTTAAGAACGTTGTTGCGAATGCACTTTTGCGCATGTTTTTTTACATGTACGTTTGTGCATGTCCATTTGAGCGAGTGTGCTTGTGCATGTTTGTTGATTTTTGTTAATGTCCTAGGATTGTAGTTTGTGTTTTCATGATCCTTTTTGCGAATGCACTTTTGCGTGAGTTCTTTTGTGCATGCTTTTGTACTCTTACTTATGTGCGTATCTTTCTAGCGAGAGTTTTTGTGCACGTTTCTTGATGCGCATTCATATCCTCGAACTGTAGTACGTATTTTCATGATCGCTTTTGGAATCCAATTTTGACCATGTTCGAGTCCGAATTTGGATTTTTGCCGTTAGACAGGGATTGTAGCCAGCTGAAATAGCTTTCTAATGCCGCCAGAACCAGTTGATTTGGAGTCCGGATGAGAAAGTTATGGTCGACTTCGTGGACGTACACTACCAAAGGTGTTGAGGGATTCTCTCTTCTAGTTTGATTTTATTTTCCTAATTGCAACTCTTTTCTTACTCTTTGATCATTTTTGCTTCTTGGACACCTAATTTTCGATTTGTACCTATAAGATACGAAATCCACAAATTCAAACGGAAATATAAATTAATCCAAAAAAAAAATCCACGTAAACGGAAACGTAGAGTTTTATTTCTACACTCCACCGTACCTTTTTTGTCTAGTGTTTTTGCTGTTGTTTGTTGATGCGTATTAAAGTCCTAGTATTGTAATTCGTGTTTTTAAGAACGTTGTTGCGAATGCACTTTTGCGCATGTTAGAATAATTCTATCACAAAAGATATAATTAATACAAAAGTTGTTGCGAACATAAGTAAGAGTGCATTCGCCAAAATCAGGGATATTGAACTGGGGTCCCTGATAAGAAAAGAGTTGCATTTGCAACATCAGATTACCATTTTAGAATAATTCGGCTACGAAAGATTATTTTTTTCTTATTTATATTTTTCATGTTCTCATAAATACGACATTAAAATCAGGGATACATAAGATCTTACATATATACCCACCAATTTGTAGAGCTGACTTTCCAAATAAATCAGGGACTTCCTATTGAAGTTTCATTAATAGTGCCTCCAAATTTTGAGGGCGAAAACTACGGCGGCAAGTTCCAAGTCGTGCGTCGGGTAGTTCTTCTCGTAGTCTTTCAATTGACGAGAGGCATATGCAATTACGTTCCCATTTTGCATCAAGACGGCTCCTAGTCCATGCTTGGAAGCATCGCTATAGACTACGTAGTTTCCGGTTTTGTCGGGTAAGGCGAGAATCGGGGCGGAAGTTGATCGACTCTTGAGCTCTTGGAAGCTAGACTCACATTCGGCAGTCCATTGGTACTTGGCTTCTTTTCGGGTCAATCGAGTGAGTGGAGAAGCAATTTTGGAGAAGTTCGGAACGAATCGTCGATAGTAACCCGCGAGACCGAGGAAGCTTCGAATTTCTCCAACATTTCGGGGAGTCAACCAATTGCAAACGGCTTCGATCTTGCTTGGATCAACCGGTATTCCTTATTATGAGATCACGTGCCCAAGGAAGTGCACTTGGCGTAACCAAAATTCACATTTGGAGAACTTTGCGCAAAGTTGGTTTTCTCGGAGGGTTTGGAGCACGATTCTCAAATGTTCTTCGTGTTCTTCATCATTTCGGGAGTAGATTATGATGTCGTCGATGAAGACCATTACAAATTGGTCGAGGTACTTCCGGAAGATTCGGTTCATTAGATCCATGAAAGCGGCCGGGGCGTTGGTGTATCATGGTTTTGAATCATTGGACGTTTTCCCTTGTTTTGGCTCGGTCCGGGGTGGGGCCTCTTCCATTTGTGAGTAGTGGCAGGTGGAACGGATCGAGATTGACGGATCTCTTGCTCGGCTTGGTCTGCTTCGAGTTCTTTGTCGACTATTTTCCGATAATGTATAGGTATTAATCATAGAGTTTCGACATGACCGCAAGAATTCTGTATATGTATCTCTATTCATGTCCTTATTAATAACACGAACTACAGATAAGATTCCATTCGCCAAAATCAGGGACCCCAGTTTTTAAGCACGCTAGCTTCTCGTATACCTAAAAATTAAAGCACATCTTTAATAACTCTTTTTAATAATAAGATAGTTTCCTATATAAAAGAAACAACTAATGACAAATTATAGAATTAAATTAAACAGGGAGACTTCCCTTTTGTGTTTCACGGTACATAAGGACTTGTTGCACCACTTTTTACTCATCCCTAGTTTATTAGAATCCAATTAGATTCTAACATATACCATAACACAGAAGTTATGGGATATCCAAGTTCTTTAACCATATCTAGCAGCTCAAAATACGACATTAAATCGGGATCAATATCCGGCACAACTGAAACCATTCCCCCAACATAATTAAAATAACTTTCAAACCTCCCTCCATGATTAAGTCTAAAGGTAAAAAACGTATCTAGGATTTTAACCTGTATAAAAACATGAAAAATAAGTGAATTACATTAGCTAAAATCCAAAAACTTCCCAAAATTCTGAAAACCCCTAAGACCCAAAAATCCCCAAATTCTACTGAGTATAGAAACCATCTCTTCAAAACCCTTTTCAAATAATTTAAGTTTTAACATCGTAGACTTGGTAATATTTTCAAGTCGTGTATGAATTATTCAACTCGTTTTATTGGACAAATAAATAAAAGATATTAATTAAAATCATTGATCTCAATATGTATTTAACGCCAAACTTTTCTACACAAAATATAAATCAATCTTTGATGTGATACGTTCATTGAACTAACGCAATTTATAAACATGGTTGATTTTCTATCAACGTGTTTAAATATTTTTTCCTCCAAAATTATTAACAATATTGGGGAAAAAAAACTGAATTTCAAAAAATTCCAAAACCCCCGAATTCCTTCACTCGTAAACCCCAAAATCCCCAAATCCAAAAAAACATAACTTTAAATACAAAATAGAGCTTGTAATGTAAATACTAATCCAAAACCAAAAATTTTGTATTGATAATTCTGTGAAAGCAGGGTTGTAACCAAATCCTTGAAGATCTAAACCCAACTTCGGCGTGGGATAAAACCCCAAAAAAATCTCAACCCTAAATTAAGCGAAAATTTCAGAACTTACCTTCGTTTACACCAAGTTCTCTTCAAATTTCTTCAAAGAGGTCTATGATGTGTTGAATCGCAGGGGAGAAGATGAATGACAGGGGAAGAGGGGAAAGTTTCTTCCAATGTGTTTTGCAGAACGTGTTTGATATTTTTTTTCGCCAAATTGCAAAGTCTAAAAAGGGCTACTTCTATCAAATAAAAGGAAGGGTAAAAATATAATTACATAGCAGAAACTAACATCGTTAAATATGTGAGAGTTGATTGTTAAGGTGAAGGGTTGTTTTGTCGCATTTCATAGTACAGAGGGTAAATGCGACAGTGATGATAGTACAGGGGTGCAAACTGTATTTAGCCCTCAATTTTATAAGAAAAAATAGTTAAATTCAATATAATAAATTAAAAGAAATTAAAAATGGAAATTGTTCTATTTTCTTCTCACTTCCGCCCCACCCAAAACAAGCCTCATTCCTCATGCAGCATCCGCCACCGTACCACCACCCTCCACATCAGCCCCCCACCCTAAACAATTTCTCCATTCACCAATTCATATCAGCGGCATCATCGATGCCCAAGTGATGACGGGAGTGCTCAGAGACGAACGAACAGAGAAATCCATCGCAGTGCAAATAGAGACGACGTTTGTTTGAATGGCAGTACACTGTACACTATTGCTCTCACCACTCCACAAAAATCACACAGTGGCAGAGGCTCACCCATTTTGATTTGGAGAGATGGCCCTTTAAAAAATATGAAGGACTGAATTGAAAATTCTGAGAATTTTGTTTTGGGCTTTATAAAGTTTTTTAGGTGAATTTATAATTTTTGAAATTTATGATTTAGAGGATAATATTGTCTTTTCACGTCAATCCCACAACCCCAGTCGCATAATTTGCGCGTGTAGCACACTGGAACTTCCAGCTTATAGGGGTTTTATTAGCTTTGACTAATTTTCACAGGGTGGTTTGTGCAATTAGAAATTACACAAGGGTAGTTTTTGCAAAAAACCCTACTTTAGGTTACCAGAACAAAATAACATAACAACAAGAAGAAAATGCTTTCTTGTCTTCCCTGTTTAGAGATTAATGTTGGTATAATTAATAACAATATGCGTAAACAAAAAATACTTACTTGTTTGTCGAAAAGAGGAATTGTGAAAACCACAAAGAACGATCGAGGCTTGCCGAAGCAATTCTCTTAAGACAATATTTCCGGGATGTCAACGGTGCACAGTCTCTTTCCGGTAGTCACCCAATGTACAAAGATCAGTTGTCGAATATATGCACGAATATTCGACCCACGGCGAACTTGAACAACCAACGGAACTTTGACGAAGAAAAAGAAAAAAAAATATGAAGAACTATCTCTGTATTGCCGATTAAATTCAGTACAGAATTGGTCAGATTCTGCCTTTATTTATAGGTTGTAGAGATCCATTCACAGAGGGATGCAATGGTTGGAAGAAGAAGCAGAGAGATGTGTCTGTTCTTTTTACCTAGTTCAAAAAACGTAGGAAAATTAATTGGTCATGGGCCAATTAATTAAATTGGTCTGGGCCAAATATTTTATTATTTGGATTTTGGGTCAAATAATTTGACTAACTACTAAATGTCCCCAAAAGTAATATTTGTGGACACCTAAACCCAAACTAGTCCTATTACTCGATCACATCGAGCGCACATCTTTTGAACTCTAACCATTTACTCAAGACAATTTTCATTCAATTTACTTCATGATTATGATCAAGTAAATAAATGAAATTAATCTTTACATAATTTAATTAATATTACTCAATATTAATTATTGGAAATCATGAAAATTCCAACAATCCCCCACATGAATAAAATTGTTCTTCCAATCTTATCGCATAAGATCTATTAGTCAAAATTGAGTAGTGAATAGTACAGCATCGGGATAGGTGAAATATTTCATCTTGAACCTTCCCTAGTTAAAGCTTATCGGATTTACTTAGCCAATCGGTGAATTATTTCATCTTGAACCGTCGGCTGTTTATGTAAACCAATTCAATAAACTTAACACCATACTAAACGAACTTGTTCAAGTTCTCGGTTGTGTTCGTTTTGGCCCTGAACATCCTCGGGTTCAGCGAGTGCTTTAGAGGATTCTAGCCTTTAAGAATTCTCAACGAGCCGACCCAGCTCACACTAACATAGGTGACCGCATCTATAAAAAGTATCCTACTATAACCCACTTGTAATTTACAAGATATAGACGTCATTAAAAGCAATAGCTTAACCTTTTTGAACGTCGTAGGTTGCACTTATTGCATCATAGGAATAAGGTGAAGTTAAAACTCCTAAGTGCTCCATTTATTTAAGTTACACAGAACTGGTTGTCCTATTGAACTTGCTCCGCGGGATCTCCAGTCGCCAAGTTAGGTTTCCGTATAAGGTAACTTAGTTATTTAGGCTTTAAACTTATTGTTACAAAGTGCCTTTCTCCTGTTATTAAAATATGGAAATATTAAAATTCTCACGCAAAAGTACTCACGCAAAAGTGGATCATATTGGTGGGTATTTTAGTCTTTTACACACCTCTCCTATTGGCTATGCCATGCGCATAACAACAAAAAAAATTCACGTAAACGTAAACGTAGAGTGTTATTTCTACACTCCACTGTACCTTTTGTATCTAGTGGTTTTGCTGTTGTTTGCTTATGCGTTTTAAAGTCCTAGTGTTGCAATGTTTTTAAAAACGTGGTTGCGAATGCACTTCTGCGCTTGTTTTTCTACATGTACGTTTGTGCATGTCTATTTGAGCGAGTGTGTTTGTGCATGTTTGTTGATATGTATTAATGTCCTAGGATTGTAGTTTGTGTTTTCATGATCCTTTTTGCGAATGCACTTTTGCGTGAGTACTTTTGTGCATGCTTTTGTACTTTTACTTATGTGCGTATCTTTTCTAGAGAGTGTTTTTGTGCATGTTTCTTGATGCGCATTCATTTCCTCGAACTGTAGTACGTATTTTCGTGATCGCTTTTGGAATCCAATTTTGACCATGTTCGAGTCCGAATTTGGAATTTTGACGTTAGACAGGAATTGTAGCCAGCTGAAATAGCTTTCTAATGCCGCCGGAACCATTTGATTTGGAGTCCGGATGAGAAAGTTATGCTCGACTTCCTGGACACTACCAAAGATGTTGAGGGATCCTCTCTTCTAATTTGATTTTATTTTCCTAATTGCAACTCTTTTGTTACTCTTTGATCATTTTTTCTTCATGAACACCTAATTTTCGATTTGTACCTATAAGATATTAAATCCACCAATTAAAACAGAAAAAAAAAAAATTAATCCAAAAACAATCCACGTAAACGTAAACGTAGAGTGTTATTTCTGCACTCCACTATATCTTTTGTTTCTAGTAACGTTGTTGTTGTTTGGTTATGCGTATTAAAGTCCTAGTGTTGTAGTTCGTGTTTTTAAGAACGTTTTTGCGAATGTAGTTATGCGCATGTTTTTTTACACGTACGTTTGTGCATGTCCATTTGAGCGAGTGTGCTTCTACATGTTTGTAGATTTGTATTAATGTCCTAGGATTGTAGTTTGTGTTTTCATGATCCTTTTTGCGAATGCACTTTTGCGTGAGTACTTTTGTGCATGTTTTTGTACTCTTACTTATGTGCGTATCTTTCTAGCGAGAGTTTTTGTGCACGTTTCTTGATGCGCATTCATGTCCTCGAACTGTAGTATGTATTTTCATGATTGCTTTTGGAATCCAATTTTGACCATGTTCGAGTCCGAATTTGGATTTTTGCCGTTAGACAGGAATTGTAGCCAGTTGAAATACCTTTCCAATGTCGCCGGAACCAGTTGATTTGGAGTCCGGATGAGAAAGTTATGCTCGACTTCGTGGACACCCAGGTTGCCGCGGATGCGGAATTCTCTCTTCTAATTTGATTTTATTTTCCTAATTGCAACTCTTTTCTTACTCTTTGATCATTTTTGCTTCCTGGACACCTAATTTTTTATTTGTACCTATAAGATACAAAATCCACAAATTCAAACAGAAATATAAATTAATCCAAAAAAATAATCCACGCAAACGTAAACGTAGAGTTTTATTTCTACACTCCACCGTACCTATTTTATCTAGTGTTTTTGCTGTTGTTTATTGATGCGTATTAAAGTCCTAGTATTGTAGTTCGTGTTTTTAAGAAGGTTGTTGCGAATGCACTTTTGCGCATGTTTTTTTACATGTACGCTTTTGCATGTCCATTTGAGCGAGTGTGCTTGTGCATG